ACACACAAACATCCACCAATCACAGCTCTACACTCACACACATCCACCAATCACAGCTCTACACTCACACACATCCACCAATCACAGCCCTCCACTCACACACATCCACCAATCACAGCTCTACACTCACACACATCCACCAATCACAGCTCTACACTCACACACATCCACCAATCACAGCCCTCCACTCACACACATCCACCAATCACAGCTCTACACTCACACACATCCACCAATCACAGCTCTACACTCACACACATCCACCAATCACAGCCCTCCACACACACACATCCACCAATCACAGCTCTACACTCACACACATCCACCAATCACAGCTCTACACTCACACACATCCACCAATCACAGCCCTCCACTCACACACATCCACCAATCACAGCTCTACACTCACACACATTCACCAATCACAGCCCTCCACTCACACACATTCACCAATCACAGCCCTCCACTCACACACATCCACCAATCACAGCCCTCCACTCACACACATCCACCAATAACAGCTCTACACTCACACACATCCACCAATCACAGCTCTACACTCACACACATCCACCAATAACAGCTCTACACTCACACACATCCACCAACCACAACCTGTGACTTAAAAACCACACATAGCACATGCAGACAGCTGCTAACACCCGTGTGTGTGTGTGTGTGTGTGTGTGTGTGCGCAGAATGCTTCCGTACGGTTGTCTGTCCATCGGGGACTGTGTGGGCCTCATCGAGGTGGTGAAGAACTCTCACACCATCATGCAGATTCAGTGTAAAGGAGGCCTGAAGGGGGCGCTGCAGTTCAACAGCAACACACTGCACCACTGGATCAGGGACAGGAACAAAGGAGAGGCGTAAGAAACACACACACACACACACACACACACACACACACACAAACATGTTGGTATTGGTGGTTTACAGGCACTCTCTCTCTCCATAGGTGTAATGGATTTAATACTGTACAAAAAAAACGCTTATTATATGGCCCGGCTGCCTCACATCTAGCCCAAACCCAATGTCCCTCAATGGCAAAAGACACTGTTAAGGATGATTTTAAACATTTTGAATTACAAAGACATCAGGCATGTCCTCATAAACCAAAAAGATAGACAAAATGGAAATATAAAAAAACATATACACAACTTTACAATGCTTTACATAATACTGACGGCAAAAGCAAAGGCGACATGATCCAACCAACTAACAGTAGATTTTTAGTGCACACACTGCTGTTTTGTTTTAACCACTTTTTAAGAACACCACTAAAAATATTTAGATTACTTTCTGATTTTAAGCTAACCGGTAAATCATTCCACAGTTTGGCTCCCTTTACAGAGAAGACAGATTGACCAAATTGGGTTTTACACTTTGGCACTAGACCAGGGGTCTCAAACTCGCGGCCCTCAGTGCAATATTTTGTGGCCCGCGCCGACCGCTGTACACTGACAGAATCAGCGGAGCGGGGAGAGAGAGCGCTCCCCGCTCCGCTGATTCTATCCGTACACAGCGGTCACTGCATTCCCTGCCCGCCGTGTTGTCGCGCGCGTTCTGATCAGCTGTGTTGTCGCGCGCGTACTCAAGAGCTGTGTTATCGCGCGCCTACTGAAGGGCGGGACGGAGCGTGTGTCGCGTCGCGGGGGCACTTTTGATCATTTTGGAAGGGCACTTTCTATGCAAGACTAAAAAGGGCATGTGCACTGCACAGGTTGAGCCCTATGTGTGCACGTGCCTGCCCTGCATCTTATATATATTATAGGTAGATACAGACTGGTACAGACTGATGTGACTGGAGTGGGGTGGGGGTGTTTCATTTATACATATATACGCCTTTTTTTAGGTGAGGGAATGGAAGTTTTGAGTGAGTTCCCCCACTTTTTTCCCTAGGACTTCAATAAGTCTAGACTTGATGATCATCTTCAAGCCATACTGAGGGTCTCAACTGCTTCGGCTCTAAAGCCAAATGTGGTTCAGATTTGTGAGAAGAAGCGCTGTCAAGTCTCTGGCAGCAAGAAGTAGGCAAAAGATGCCATGTTCAGAAGAACTGTTCATAATCTTCACTCAATGTTCAATTAATGTTCAGGACACTTCATGTTCAGAAGAAATAATTAAAACTGTTAATAATGACATTTGAGGACTTTTTTTGTGAAATCCCTTATGCTGCCCAGCCTCACCCAGACTTTGCCTCCTGCGGCCCCCAGGTAAATTGAGTTTGAGACCCCTGCACTAGACAGTCATTATTAGCAGTTGCACATGTAACTCTGTGAGAGGTCTGATGCCGACTGATTAGATCTAAATACAGGACTGGAACATGATTATTTAAACAATTTAAAACCAATTTAAGATGATTAAATATTAAAGAGCCCATATTATACACAAAATAGGGTCATGTTTTGGTTGTAAGGGTCTCCAACAACAGTCTAATATGCATGCAAGGTCAAAAACACTTTCATTATCTTGTAATCTGTATTTATTTTTACCTAATTATCCCAGCGACTCCCAAATGAATCGTTCAGGTATTCATTTGTTCCTAAACCGCTCCTTAGCGCGAAGATAATCTGTGCTGATTGGACCAATGACAGTCTGCTGCGATTGATCGACACTGACTTCGTTCATCGCGAGACAGAGTGAAATGCCCAGCAGCTAATCAACAATATAGAAGTAGTCACAAGCCGCATTTCCACTATCGGGCCAGTGCGAGCCAGGGCTTTAATCGGGCCGGGGCGGGCCAATAGCCCGGGAGGTTGAGAAATGAGGCTGAAATCATGTCGCGTTTCCACTGTCGGGCTAAAGCTCACAGCGCGTCACGCAAACACCGCCCACAGAACGTCCCCGAATCAAACGTCACACAACCCGCCCACTTCAGCGGGAATGAGGCAGATAAAGCACACCATAGAATCATCACGAAACGAAACCATTAAAATGAAGACAACCGAAACAAACAAATGACACGTTACTGTACAGCAGTACATGAAATGTCTATACGCACAGACCTGTGTATTTCCATTCATTACATTTGTTTACTCGCCGACCGACTGCATTGTGCATGGAGTGCTCTCGCCACTAACACAGGGACCCAACACAGAGAGCGCACACATTCATAATATAAAGCCACAGAAATTCTCCGTTATAACTCGATATGGCATGTATTTTTTAACATCCTTGTGTTGATAGAAGTCGTGTTAAGTTTTCAGCACAAGAGCGAGTAGCCTAATAAAATATAGCCATATTTGTTGGGCTCGGCAGCTATTCACTAAAACTCCTCATTTAAAGTTTCATTTATAAATTTAACCACGTCATATAAAAACATAAACAGTTGTTTGAGGATTTAGAACACATTTTGTGTTTGGACTTTCCCCCATATGCGTTTAAAGCAGCGAGTGCTGCGCAGGACTGAGTGACAGAAAAAAAGGTATAGGAGATTCTGCTTTCACTCACCCAAATAATGCTCTGTTTGCGCGATTTGATTAATATAATCGTATCCAAATACTTTATAAATATTTACTTATATAAATATTTACTTTATATAAATATTTTAAACCTTCTCCGGTGTTTATTGTTTTTAAAAAATATCGAAAATCTTTTTTTTTTTCAGACAGGTCTTTGCAAAATGAAAGTTAGGCTATATGTGGCTTTAAAATGGTTTGATTTATGTATTGTATATAGGCTACCTACATTGTTTTAGTTAGCTTTTGTTTATTTTATATTGGTTAATTTATTTAATGTGATTTTATATATATCCGATATTTGTAATTCTTTAAATTATATTTCAATATACCTTAGGCTATTTTATCAAGATATGACAATATATTGTTTAAAGTCTACGAAAGTGGGCACGTATTTTGTTAAGTTTGTCTTTCTGTTGTATTTATATGTGTATTCTCTCCAAAATAAATAAATAAAAAAGCCGCTCGCGGCATAACAGAGCTGTGAAGGAGCGCTTTTGCCCGGTCTCTCACACACATACAGGAATCTAAACGCGCACAAACAAACAAACATTTTAAACTTGACAAAAACTCTCGAAAACCTTTACTGTCTGATGTGTTTTTAATATGGTGTAAAGATTATTATGCGTTATTGAAACATAAAGGAGGACGCAGCAAAGAACGTCACTATAAATTAAAACTACTTTATTATTTTATGCAGCAGCCTTTCATTTAAAAGGGAAACATAAGGGTGATCATACGCAAAAAGACCCCAGACTGTAAGGCTAGATGTTTTCTTTCCCTTATTTCTTTATTTGTTTGGCGCATGTACTCATGTGCGATCAGAAAACTGTCCGCCTCTCCTTTCACTCCGCCCCGAAGCCCCAGCTGGCCCTCCTTGGCCCAAGGTATTCGGCGGGCCGAAAAAGGCCGGCCGCTGGCCCCAAGAAAGCCCCGCTTTGGCCCGATTAGGCCCCGGAAGTGACAGTGGAAACCCCACTGGCCTTGGCTCGCTCGCTTTAGGCGCGATAGTGGAAACGCGGCTACAGTGTACACATGCTTCATAGTGTAAGGCGTGGATTTTGGCTGCCAGTGGGTGAATGTGAATACAGACGATGGACTTGAAAATACAGACGACTAACTATTTTATTGGCGAGGCAGTGGCGCAGTAGGTAGTGCTGTCGCCTCACAGCAAGAAGGTCGCTGGTTCGAACCTCGGCATATTTGGCATTTTTGTGTGGAGTTTGCATGTTCTCCCTGAAAGTTATGAATTCCAGTATTGTGACAGCACTATTCAGAAGATCTGTGTGTTTTCTCAGGTACGACAGAGCCATTGATTTATTCACGCGCTCGTGTGCTGGATACTGCGTGGCCACGTTCATCCTGGGCATCGGAGACAGACACAACAGCAACATCATGGTGAAGGAGAACGGACAGGTGCACACGTTTAACTCATTCTAGTGTTTAGATTTTATTTGAACTTATATTGTCAATATCGAATACATTTCCACATATAAACGATTCAGAATGTGATCCGAGTAAATCGAAATCCATGGCCTCTATTTTGAAGATCTATATGCAAAGTGCAAAGTGCAGGGCGCAAACGCATTCAGGGCGAGTCAGAATCCAATTAATACTTTAATTAATACTTTTTGTTTTTATAAATAATAGGTCAACATTAATTGAGTTTTGCCTTTAATCTTTTTCTTTAATCTTGCCTTTGGTTTGAAGTGTGTTTATTTGTATAATTACTCCGCCCATCTGTGTGTGTTTTTGTCTGCAGCTGTTTCATATCGACTTCGGTCACTTCCTGGATCATAAAAAGAAGAAATTTGGCTACAAGCGCGAGCGCGTTCCCTTCGTCCTCACGCAAGACTTCCTGATCGTCATCAGCAAGGGGGTGCAGGAGTGTACCAAGACCAAAGAGTTTGAGAGGTGCACGCACACACACATCGTCTCTCCATAGCTGTAATGAGGTTTTGTGTCCTCTTCCCCAACACTACCCCTCAACCAACCCTCACACAAAACATTCTGCACCTTTACATTTCCACAATCCGTCAATACTTCCCACAATCCTTCATTCTGTCTGATTTATCTAAAACTATGTCCCCACAAGGTCAGAATGTACTGGTATTGCTATACTTGTGGGGACATTTGGTCTCCTCAATGTTAGGAATATGAGGCACACACACAACACACACTCACTGAAACACAGACATACACAATTAACACACACATAAGCAAGCATACACACACACATACACACACACACCCAAGACACTCTTAGATACATACACACACACACACACACACACACACACACCCAAGACACTCTTAGATACACACACACCCATACTCATGTGTGCAAACATGCATACACAATCATGTAGTGTACAAAAAACACACACATGCATGGAAACACACACACACACACTCAAACATGCGAAACAGACATGAAAACACAGACACTTGACACACACATACACACAAGCATACACAGACTTTCTCAAACACACACACACACAGACACACACACACAGACACACACACATACACACACACTCAAACATGCGAAACAGACATGAAAACACAGACACTTGACACACACATACACACAAGCATACACCGACTTTCTCACACTCACACACACACACACACACACACACACACAAACTTAAACATGCGAAACAGACATGAAAACATACAGACACTTGACACACACATACACACAAGCATACACACACTTTGACACATGCATAAAAACACATGCACAGTGTACAACAAACACACACATGCATGGAAACATACACACACACACTCAAAAATGCGAAACAGACATGAAAACACAGACACTTGACACACACACATACACACAAGCATACACACTTTCTCACACACACACACACACACATCCATACACTTGTGCACACATGCAAACATGCACTCAAACACACTCTGATTCACATGCATGCAAAGACACACACACACACACTCTTGCGCACATACACAAGTACACTCATTCAAACCGGCGAAAAACACACATGCAATCATAAGCATAATTGACACACACTTACACAAACAAGCATACACACTCCACACTCTTACACATACACACCCATAAACAGACACTCATCAACACACACTCTCACGCACACACACACACAAACCACATATTCAAACATACATGTACTCAACACACACATACTTGACACACACACACACACCCTTGTGCACAAACATGCAGTCACACACACTCAACACATACATACTCTCATGTGCACACATGCAAGGATACACACACACACACACACTCAACACACACTCTCACTACAGTGGAGAATCCCAACACACTGAACTCCACTTCTCTGACTGTTACCTGCTCCAGTTCAGCAGGAAGTGATGATTCTGTTCTCTTGTTTCTCATTGGCTGGAAACACTGCTTCATTCACTGATGATTTACGCTATATTACAGATTTTCACAAACATCTAGAATAGACACACAGCTAGTTTTAGTATTGTGGTGCAGCTGTAGTGTGTAGTGCAATTTAACTGATGTGTGTTTGTGTGTGTGTGTTTGTCAGGTTTCAGGAGATGTGTTATAAAGCCTACCTGGCCATCCGTCAGCACGCCAGCCTCTTCATCAACCTGTTCTCCCTGCTGTTGGGCTGTGGGATGCCGGAGCTGCAGAGTTTCGATGATATCGCGTATCTGCGGAAAACACTGGCGCTGGAGAAGAGCCAGCAGGAGGCGCTGGAGTACTTCACCAAGCAGATGAACGACGCGCATCACGGCGGGTGGACCACCAAGATGGACTGGATCTTCCACACCATCAGACACATGCCCAACGAGCACTGACACACACACACACACACACACACACACATATACATTAGTTTCTATATGGGCGCACACACACACACATTAGGGCTGCACAATTTTGGGAATATATGCAATGTACTGCAGAGGCGGGGCCAAGGATAGTAGCCGATCTGATTGGTCAAATTTGCATAACTTATGCAACAGAAGGTCTTGGCACATAAATGTCATTTATCACACCTCT